AGTAAGAAAAGAAAGAGTACAGAAGAGAATGTTCCTTTTCTTGCTGTTGCTCTTGCTCTATCAATGGCGGAGGCTCGCATCTCCATAACCATTTTTTGGGCTTTCCCCTGCTTCTACCCCAACAACTACTATTTTTTTTCTCTCTCTCTCAACTCACTTTCACTTTGACACCTCCAAACAACACTAAAATATTCATATCAAATACTCTCTCTCTCTCTCTCTCAACTATGTGTGAATGTAGCCTACCTTTTAAAACCTCCCTCTCTCTCACACACACACACACCACAAAGAGACCTCCACTTTTTTTTTTAGCCAGCCATCGTATCCGGAGCTATGCCTCGACTAATTCGTTGGTCGACCCGAGTCGCACACCTGGCGATAGTGGGTGAGTCTTCCAACAAGGGTTTCTTATCTACAAGAACTTAAACTCGAGACTTTTTTTTTAAATAAAAGATTACGTACATATACATGCACCTGTATTTATCAGCAATATCACTTTTGCAAATAACCATCAATATTGTTGTACATTTGTACTTTGGATTATTGTAATGAAAAATATATTCAATAATTTATTTGAGATTGCCCCCTCAAATTATTCCCTTCATTTATCATAATCTTTCTTTTCTTTTCTATATATATATATATATATATATATATTTTTAGTGAGGGGTCACATAACATATTAAATGGTCCTCTTCAGCCCCATTGGTTAGACTCGGGATGCTAATTTATTAATTATAAGTTTTTTCATAAATTAAATTGTTTTTTGTTTTTGGGTGTATCCTGAGCTGCCATTGGTCAGAAACAGTGGTAGGGTTAATGTGTACTGCCTGCCAAGTCAGCAACGGGATTAAAAACTTGACAGGTCATTTATACTTTTTTTGGACAGCATGGACCATACTATTATCATGTATAGTTGTCTAAGACAATCTCTGGTTTATAGGTGGGTTGTTTAAATTGTAGCTACCCTGTTAGTAATATTAAAAGCATCTACAATACGATTGATTTCAATTACAAAAAATTATATGTCACCTAAGAAAAATAGACTGAGTCTAAAAAAATATATTTTCAATACAAATAAAAGTAGATTGGGTCTGGCTGATGTGACAGTCAAACAAAGAGACTTGATCTACCCTTAAGTCTATTTTAGACTTGGAGTGGATTTTATCAATTTTATATAGTTTTATCCATGTCATCTAAGACTTCGGTTTATGATGAAGGCAAGATTGCCCTCGCGTTCTTGGATCGACACGATCTATTGGCTTCTCTAGTCTAAGTTATTTATACTTAATTTTATTATTATTATTATTATTATTATTATTATTATTATTTTTATTTTCTTTATTTCCAATTTTTAGAAGGTATGTATTTATTTATTTGCCTTATTCCTTTTTTTATTAGCCAAAATAGGAATTTTAGAAGTAGAGGACTCTTTCTTATTTATCATTTTGTGCATCAGAGACGAGATCAGTTTTTTAGCAGAAATAAAAATCGATTCGTGAGTTTAATCTCTTGTTCCTTCTCGTTCTTGTTTTTGCTACATCAGGTGGTATCAACGAGACCAGACACGATCCCAGATGCCTCCTAAGCGTAACCATGTCGATGAACGTCGAGACGCCGCTATCGAATCCCTCCTCCAACGCAGCGACGCATCTGATCGGGTCATGGCAAATCTTACTGCAAGGATCGAGGAAATCGCACTGGTGCTCAATACCGGTACTCTCGGCAATCAGGCGAACCGGGGACGTGGCAGATGGCACGGGGGAGCACGCGGAGGTCATAGTCGGGGTGCATGTAGAGCGCCCCGCGCCCGATCTCTACTTTAGTGGGATGGGGATGGTGACAATGACAACACCGTCTCCGACACGGAAAACCCTTTTGGACATCCCAACGAAGAGGATGATGTTCTGGCCGAGGATAGGTGCTGGGAATCATCCTTTCGCGTGGATATGAAAGAACTTACCAACGACTTAGATGCGTCGGACTTTCTGGATTGGATGGCCGCGGTCAAGACCGCCTCTCGACTTTAAGATGGATTTAGTGGCTACACGACTTTGTGGCCGAGCCACGGCGTGGTGGCAGCAACTTAAGGCGGCGAGACAAAGGTTGAGCAAATCGAAGATCACCGCATGGTCTAGATTCTAGAAGCATCTCGTGCGTGAATTTTAGCATTTAATTTACGTCTGTACGGTCTATGCTCAGTTTCAAAATTTGCGTCAAGGATCAAAATCGATTATTGATTATACCGAGGACTTTTATCGTCTTCTTATGAGGGTCGATAGTCGGGAGACGACGAAACAACTTGTGTATCGGTATATTTTCGGGCTTTGGATGTCTATTCAGGACACGTTAAGCTTATACGTCCCAGACTCCATATCTAATGCTCATCAACGAGCTATATTTATCGAGAAACATTTGGCAAGGCGTTCGGCGTCGGATTTTCTCCCAGGGACACGTCCAAGAACGGGCGACTTTTCCGGCACAACACCTGTTCGTTCGGCTTCGACAAGTACATCCGCACAGAATCCTGGATTGAGTGCGGGCCGCGATGTAGGCCCGATTTCCAAAGCAGTAAGGGCTTCGTCTTCAACCGGACTAGGTGCTGTAGTAGGTGCCACGGCAGCGAGTTCTCGAACGACGGGTGGACTGCGGTGCTTCTCCTATGGTGAGTTTTTTGTGAGTGGACGAGTTTGTCGTCTTATTATCGATCCGGTCTCCTGTGAGAATGTCATGGACAAGGAGGATGTGGATAAACTTCAATTGTCAAGTGAGCCACATCCGCAATCGTATACTCTTTCATGGATTCAGTGTGGTAATTCTATTAAAGTAGATCGTCGTTTTTTGTCTCATTTTCTATTGGAGCCAAATATCGAGACTTGATGTAGTGCGATGTAGTTCCCATGGATGCGTGCGACCTCTTGTTGGGTAGACCGTGGCAATTTAACCGTGTGACAACACATGACGGTCTTCTTAACACCTATACCTTCGTGTTCTAGGGTGTTAAGATTATTCTTATTATGTCACCACCACGGGCCATATCTTCTCATCCTTCATCGTCAGTTTTGTTTCTCTCCCGAGCAGCATTTGTGGACGAGATGCGTGAGGCTCCTTGTGTTCTTCTTTTGTATGGTAAAGATGCTTCAGATGTGCATATTCCACCACCGGCAGTTTGACCTTTATTGGAAAAGTTTGCTGATGTGTTTTCGGAGGATCTCCCATCCAGTTTGCCACCTCTCGGTGACATTAAGCATCAAATCGACTTGATCCTATGAGCTTCTCTGCCGAATCGGCTACATTATGTCATGAGCTCGGTCGAGCGCGATGAGCTACAGCGTCAAGTAGACGATCTTTTACAGCGTGGTGTGGTACATGCGTACAACGTAGCCTTAGCCCATGTTCATCCCCACCTTGCTCATTTCGAAAAAGGACAGCGCGTGGTGCATGTGCGTAGATAGTCAAGCAATTAATTTAATCACCAGTCTTTATCGCTTTCCTATTCCACGCCTCGTTGACTTATTGGATCATCTTCACAACGCAACATTTTCACAAAGCTTGATCTTCGTAGCGGATACCATCAAATACTTATTCGGCCAGATGACGAGTGGAAGACAGCGTTCAATACTCGGGAAAGTTTGTTTGAGTGGATGATAATGCCGTTTAGGTTGTCCAAAGCGCCTAATACATTTATGCGTAAACTCACTTCGTGACCTTATAGGTAAGTGTGTTGTCGTTTATTTCAACGATATTTTTATCTGTAGTGTTACTTTGGAGAATCATTTGGTGCATATTCGTTATGTTTTTGTTATCCTGCGTGCTGAGTCTTTTTTTGCGGCCCCTCAGAAATTTCTTTCTTTGGTTGATTTTGTGCTATTATTAGGTTTTGTGATTTTGGCCGATGGTATTCGTATGGATGATGGAAAAGTCACAACTATTCGCGATTGACTGACGCCTACTTCTTTTACAGACATGCGTAGTTTTCATGGGCTCGCCTCATTCTATCGGCGTTTCATTGCCCACTTCAATTCGATAATGGCACCAATTACGGATTGCCTGTTAGGTAAGACGTTTGTCTGGACTCCCTAGGCTGAGGAGGCTTTCGCTCTTATTAAGTGACAACTGACGACTGCCCCTGTTTTGGTTTTACCTAATTTTTCTCATCCTTTTTGAGTTATCATGCGATGCCTCAAAAGTCGAGATTAGTGTGGTTTTGAACATGGATGCGCGGCGGTCATGTTTTTTAGCAAGAGGTTGTCTGGCCCGCGACTGCGATATAACACTTATGACGTGGAATTTTATGCAGTGGTTTGTGCGATTCGTTATTGGATGCATTATCTGTTCCACATGAAGTTCATTTTGTTCACAAACCACGAGGCACTTCATCATCCTGCTTCGAAGGATAACATTTCTGCACGCCATGCATTCTGGTCGGCGTTCCTACAGTAGTTCACATTTGTTTTA